GGCTGGCACTGGGTTCGGCCTGAATCTCACATTCTTTCACTGTGGCTGGACGGCCTCTGCTTGCCTGGCCACAGGGCCTCTCCAGGTGAGCTTTGTGGTCCTCAACTGAGGGCTCCTGGAAGTCGCGACCACATGTGTACTTCTCATCCCCACACCGCCTGGGCCTTAAGAAATGAAACCAAACCAGTGCGTCTCTGAGAACTCCCCCTTCTCTTCCTCCTCAGTCATGGTCAGCCACTTTCTGGCTGTCTAAGCCACGCCTAACAACTGCGGCTCTTAGGTCTGTAATATTTATTTATAGGTTTATTTATAGGTGTAAATATGTAATATTTATAGGCTGACAGCTGGGGAATCCAAGAGTTCCCTTCTTTGCTATCTGAAGGCAGACAGAAAATGATCAATTTAATTTTTTTGTGCCCTACCCAACATTTTACAGGGCACCCTCCAGCCCTAGGAGTGTGTCCAAAACTTGTGTTGAATCTTGCAGAGCTTGTGATCTTTCCTTATGAGGTCTCTGTTCTCTGCCAAGTACCTCACAGAGCAGAGACGGGGCACAGACGGCCACCTCAAACTACCTATACATGATATAGACCATCTTTTGGTAATTATTAGCTTCAAGTGACCCTACAGCCTTAGCACTGACCATCAGGAATACCTACATCACGCTGGCCCCCACATCCAGGAAAGGGCAGCTCCCTACCTCAGAGAGAAAAGATTCTGCTCATTGATGGCACACGCTCGGGAAGAAAGGTACCTCTGTGTGAAGTGGCCCCATGGTGGAGCAGAGCAGCCAAGTGAGGCCCAGCACCTGCTCTGCCCTCTGGGACAAGTGTCAGTCTTCTATGGAGACTTCTATGAACAAAATGGCACCGCCTGGACCAACACTTTGTAGTTCCTCAAGACATTGTCATACTCTGCTCTCTAGGTATTTCCTAATGTAAATCTACTCCTGTCCACTCAAGGGCAGCACTGGGCTACTCTTCTGGTTTCTTACTTCCCACCTGAGTTCAGTCCACAGGCTTGGTTGCTAGCGAGAGCTCAAGAAAGAGATTCCTATGCATTTAAATCTACTCTCCCTTTCTTCCAAAAAGGATCAGAGGAAACAGAGGAAAATACCTTCTGGAAGTGAAAACAGGGAAGGAAGAGCAAACGAACCCAAGGTCAAGGGCATACAACAAAAGAGGTGAGCTTTGCAAAGTTGCTAAAGGTGGTTACAAATTCAGCTCTGGGTTTTCCAGAGGCTAAAGCAAAAAAAAAAAAAAAATCCGGCAGGGTGGTGTGGGGGCGGGTGTCCACAATGAAATTCAACATGTATAAAAGGTGAAAGAAAAAAACAAAAAAATCCACCACTTGCTCAGGAGAAGCTCAGCTTCTGCTGGGTACTATAGGATAATTTCCTAAGCAGAAATTCCACAAGTGGGATTTCTAAATTAAAGGTTTAGTAGATTTTTAAAGGCCTTTGATGTGTATTGCCAATTGCTCTCCTGAAAGGTTGTCCTGATTTACATTTCTACTAGCAGTCTGATCTCTTCCCTACACTGGGGGTTATCTTTTGGTGGAGATGGTGGGGGTGGTGGGACTTCTTTGCAAATGAGATAGATACAAATTCAGTGTTTTCATGTGTAAATCATGGAAGTATGCTGAATATTTTCCATGTCATGAAAATGATATGATTATATCATATCAATGTACTAGATGAATTGCCTACCTCATATCTTATACATTTTTTTGACTAAATTCTCTTTTTTTACTAGTGTCTAAGGAGAGATCTTTTCCTATGAAAGATCTTTTCCTATGGTTATTTGCCATACATGTTATTAATATTGTTGGTTGCCTTTGTTTAAGCTTTTTGACATCCAAAAGTTACCTTTTTCATTGTAAAATGAAATTTCCTCCTTTTCCCCCCAAGTTAATCAGTTAAATGCTTATTAAATGCCTATTCTGTACCCAACACTGAAGTCTCCCAATTTTACTGAGAAAAGAGAGGATAAGTGGGGTGCCCAGGTGGCTCAGTTGGTTAAGCATCCGACTCTTGCTCTCAGTCCAGGTCATGATCTCACAGTTCATGAGTTTAAGCCCCATGTCGTGCTCTGTGCTGACAGTGCAGAGCCTGCTTGGGATCCTCTCTCCCCCTCTCTTTCTGCCCCTCCACTGCTCATGCTCTCTCTCGCTCCAAAATAAATAAACTTAAAAAAAAAAAGAGAGAGAGACAGGTTAAGTAACTAGCTCAAGGTCACTCAGCAGTAGGAAGTAGGGACAGGACTGGGTTGTTGGTGGCCTAGACTAGAGTGGTGGTATCAGTGAGGGTAGAATAAGACAAGAAACAGGAAACAATGTCCCAAAGATCCAAGAGGCCCCATGCCTAGTGAAGGTAGGACAGCTGACATTCTTTTTGGTATGTACATGTAAGATGCCTCCCAGTCATCAGTGACCGTATGTTCCAAGGCCCAACCATGTGACGCAGAGTCACATCTTATGTGACTCATTTGTGCGTGAATACATACATGCACACAGACATGTACAGAAGCTGGGAGAGAGGGACAGGAGAAGCCAGAACATGATTGGAGGAGTTAGAGGAAGACAGATATCAAAGACACCTGCCGGTGTGTAAGGGGAATAGGGAAGAGAGAAAACTCAGGAATGTCCCAGTATTGCTGCAAGGACCAAGATGAGAAATCTGTGGTCCTCAGAAGGAGTGGGGACGGCTGCATGTAGACATGGGCACTGAAGGGCAGCAAAGTCTAGGTAATGCTAAGGAAAGACCTGGAACTAGTCAGCGTACCAATGGGGCTCACCTGGAGTCCCTCCAAGAGCTTCTAGTCACAGCCCCATAACTGAGGCTGAGGAACACTCGCACTGGCTGGTTGCACCCGTTTCCCACTGTACAATGACAATAAGATGGTCACATCTCCTTTAAGTAATACACAGAGTTACCTTTGGAGTAAAGATTTGAATCCTAAAAGCAAGAAGGTGTATTTATTTATTCATTCATTCATTTTTAAGTGTTTATTTTTAAGACAGAGAGACAGACAGTGAGCAGGAGAGGGGCAGAGAGAGAGGGAGACACAGAATCCGAAGCAGGTTCCAGGCTCTGAGCTGTCAACAGAGCCCAACGTGGGGCTTGAACCCATGAACCACGAGAACATGATCCGAGCTACAGTCGGACGCTTAACCAACTGAGCTGCCCAGGCGCCACAGGACTGGGTCCATTTTTACTCAAGATTGTATCCCCCATGTCTGGAAGAACACAACATCTGCAAGAATACAGCCCTCAGTAAACAGTGGTTGAAGGAACGAATAAATGAATTGAGAGATCTGAAGTTTTACTTATCCTCACAAAGTGGCAATTTAATGCTCTGCTCAGTACCACTGGCCAAAGGTCATTCCTGATACTCTTCTCAACAGATACTGCTCCTACGTCTAGGCACTCATATTGTTAAGTCTCTGTGCAAACACAGTGCTGCAAGGAAAAAGCTTTGGCATCTTCTTTTAAGTTATTCAACTTGGTCCCTTCACTTCTGGACTAGTAAACAATGTTATTATCACTCAGCTTTTGTTTGGAAAGGGAGCTCCTTTCATCTTTTCTTATTAATAGGAGACATGAGCCTCCATGGGATGCCTGGCTGGCTCGGTTGAGTGTCCGACTTTTTTTTTTTTGAGCATCCAACTTTTGATTTCAGCTCAGATTATGATTACATGGTCATGGGATGGAGCCCCATGTTGGGCTCCACACTGATAGCTTGGAGCCTGCTTGGGATTCTCTCTCCTTCTCTCTCTGCCTCTCCCCAGCTTGTTAATGTGTTCTCTCTCTCTAAAAATAAAAATAAATACCCAAATGGGGTCCCTGGGCCACCAGCATCAGTGTCACTTGGGGGCTTGCTAGAAATGCAGACTATCAGCCCCACCCCACCCAGACCCAGGAAATCTGAGTCTGTATTTTCACAAGGTCCCTAGAGGACTCTTAGGCACATATGAAATGCAGAAGCACTGATTTAAAATTAAATATTAATTATTTGGAAACTTTAGCTCCCAACAGAGCCATATGCTTACTCTAAATGGTGAAGAAAAAGCTTAAAAAGAACCTGATGAGTTCTCCTTAGCTGTGGAATTTGTGGCTAAATTTTGTCTTTTTTTTTTTTTTTTTCTTTCTTCACTCCCTATAACACAAGCAGCACTGAGATCTCAGATGTTAGCTGTGTCTGTCTAGGGCTAACCAGGATCTGGTAGTACGGCTACAAAGGAAATGAGTTTAATTCTTCTTTTAAAATTGAGATGTAATTGACATATAAGAATGTATTTAATTCTTAACAGACCAACTAAGTGCTTTACCAAGAGAAAACCGGGCTGGATGAAGGCTGGGAAGGAGGTTTCACATAACAGAGAATAAAAACACAATTCGTCTCACTTAATAATCATTATTTCTGAAAAATGCCATGATTAGTACTTCAAGTCCCAGTTTTCAACACTCTCAGGACATTGGTTTTCTCACCAAGAAGGCACCAGCCACTCAGCCCTCACTCTTGTGCTTCAGTAACCATGAAGTGCTTTATATACATTATCCTATTAATGCTCCCAGCAATTCTTTGTGGCAGGGATTTATCATGCCCATTTTGCAGATGAGGAAACTGAGGTTTAGACAGTCTGACTGATGGAACCAAAGGTCACTCTTAGGTCTGTTTGACAGAACCCTTAGGATTCTGGCCAAGTCATTTGGGAGTGTGTGCTCCATAGCCCAAGGGCATGAGAACCCACCAGGTCAGGTGGTGAGAAGTAGCTGTTTCACCTGGGCTGGTCCTTTTTTTTTTTTTTTTTTTTTAATGCCTTTAATGAGGTGTAATTTACATACTGCAGAATTCACAGCATGTCATTTTTGAGACGGTAAGGAACATGAACATGTAATGGAAATAAAGATGTCCTTTTCCCTCTAAAAGAAAAGCCAAAGAGGTGGTGAGCCCAGATGAGCAGGTCTCCAGGGATCCCAGGGAGTCGGGAACGCCTACCTTGGATTCCATACAGCCGGTTGAGGCGTGACCGCCGGGCCTCATCGGTGTAGGGGACAGCGAGCCAGGGCATCTCACTGAAGTACTGTTTGAATGAGTCCTCTGACCTACAGAGACACACATGGAAACAAGGCTCTGTTACCCCTGAAAGTGCCACCGCAGAGTCCTCCCCACTTTCCACCAAGTTACACCCAGGGCTCTGCAGATGCCAGCGCCTCTGAACATCATGCTCCTCAGACACCAGGCTACAGGGGGGCATTATTCTACCCCTTCTGGTTACCGCGCAGCAACAGCCTCCACACGACAGGCGGATGGGAACTGAACCACCAGGCCATTTCAAGTAGCCTGTTCCTGTGGATCCTACCAGTTGAACTCATGCCCAAGTTTCTCTTTCCAACACGGGCAGGTGGTAGTTTTATAAGAAGCCTAGATGTACAGCGACATTGCGGTCCCCGTGACACTTCTAAATTGTGCATATAACAGTCCTATGTACAGGAGCACACTTTTAACTGAGCATAAACCTATGATTCCATGTATAAACAACTCTAGGAATGACAGATCTATCCAAAGTGATAAAAAGCAGATCAGGGGCTCCCTGGGGCTCGAGTGTGGGGGTGAGAACTGACCAAGAAGGGGCAGAAGGGAACCTTGTGAATGACAGAAATGTTCTATACTTCACTGTGACAATTACAGGGGTACATACATGGGTCAATATTCACTGAATTGTATGTCCAAAATGTATTCATTTCATTGTATGTAAATTACACTTCAATAAAGTTGATATTTTTTAAAGCTTTAAAAAAAAATGATGCCTGTGGCACCTGGGTGGCCCAGTGGGTTAAGTGTCTGACTTCGGCTCAGATCATGATCTCATGACTAGTGAGTTTGAGCCCCATATCAGGCTCTGTGCTGACAGCTCAGAGGCTGGAGCCTGCTTTGGATTCTGCATCTTCCTCTCTCTGCCCTTCCTGTGCTCTCTCTCAAAAATAAATAAACGTTAAAAAATTAAAAAAAAAAATAAAAATAAAAGAGTGATGATTGCTCATCCCCAGTTACATGCAGAGATGGGAGCTGGGAGTACCAGGGCTGGACCATGGGCCAATACACCAAGCATGGCACAGTGCAGATATCAAAGATACAAAATGCTGGGGCGCCTGGGTGGCTCAGATGGTTAAGCGTCTGACTCTTGATTTAGGCTCAGGTCATGATCTCGCAGTTCATGGGATCGAGTCCCGCATTTGGCTCTGCACTGGCGGTACGGAGCGGGCTTGGGATTCTGTCTCTCTCTCTCTCTCTGCCTCTCCTGTGAGCTCTGTCTCTCTCAAAATAAATAAACTAAAAAAAAATTTTTAGAAGATACAAAAGGCCCTCAGTGTGTTGGCATCTCAGAGATCCTTCTGTGAACAGGAACTTGAGAAGCAGAAGCACCTGGTGGCTCGGTCTGAACCAGAGTTGGAGTTTTGTGATGAAGGAAGGTCACTGATGAATAAAACCAGCAAGGGGGCCTGCAGCAGAGGAAGCTGAGGCTAAAAGGACCAGACGTACTCCAGGACGAATGTCTGCCCTTCTGGTTTTTAGGACAGCCCCCAGGCGAAGCACGAGGCCTGAGCGGAAAAAAATTATAGCACAGCCATCCCAGATAGGTGTCACATTCCATTAGCCTCCGGTTCTTTTCTTTCCATCCCTCCCCCACCCCACCCTTTCATCACAATCCATAAAGCTGAACGAATCAGAAAATTGCATCCTAACCTCAAATGGCCTAGGCCGGAAGTGGGACGTGCCCCAATATTTACAGCAAGAACAGGTTTTTCTCAGCTCCCCTTCAAACAATTGCACGAGAAAATCTAAAAGGCATCTGTCTGCCAATCATCCCAGATACGCCTTCCCCAATTCCCATCTCCACGCTCTACACTTAGCAGGCGAGAAGCGTAAGGCAAAAGAAATGCATGTTAACCACCTTTGGGGAAGGGAACCACACGGCCACTTTCCCCAGCACGCGTTACCTGTCCGCACTAACAAAGATGATCTCAAATTTCTGGCCTGCCTCCTTGATCTTCCGGTAGGATTCCACCAGGACCCGGGTGAGGCTTCGGCAGGGTGGACACTGAAAGAGGAGAGTGAGATCCTATGGTTTGACCCTGTACCTTCGTCTTCTCCTGCCTGCAGAGGCCAGGTAAGCAAGACCCAAGTAGGACTGGGATAGCAAGACCCAGCTTATTAAAGAGGCAGAAACAAATGTGCCCCTTGTAATGGTGAGCATTCAGGATAGGCTCTTCTCACCTCCACGGCGTGCCAGCAGGCAGCAGTTTAAATGAACCCCCTTGGAGACCAGTAGAAGCCTCATCAGAATGGGTGAGGAAGACTACCCTTTCAGACCAGTCAAAAGAAGAATTTTCTTGCTGCTATTATCATTCAAAATAATAAGCGCTCGTGGCATGTAAGCCATGCATCAGGTGCAGGAGGAAGTAAGAACACCAGGAAGTGATACCCAAGCAGTAACACCCCTAGAAGCCAACCCCAACTGGTCTTGGTGGCAGCATCGCTGCTTCCTTCCGTCTGGACTAAGGAGGGCCTGAACACTCACCCAGTGTGCGGAGAAATAGACTCCCACGTGAGACCCCTCCAGGCTGCTGCTTTCCAGGGACTGTCCGTTATTTCTAAGCAAGGGCCCCGCAATGACTTCCCTGAAGGGCTTAGGTCCCCAAGGGAATTCCAAACCTGAAACAGGCAACAGGTGGTAAGAACGTTAAGATTCTTCCTTGGGACTTCTGACCCAAGAGTCCTCACAGCGGCAGGGCATGACAGCTTTATCATCAAATAGTATTTGTTAACACACGCATAGGATCTGGAGCTAAAACCCAGGAATGAAGGCAGAACCTTATCCACGGCACAGCCCCACCTACCTTCAAGACAATGGTTCCCGAACCTGGGTGATCATAGGACCCAGCTCCTGGGGGGCTTTTGAAAAGTACAGAAGCCCAGGTCACGCTCTGAGTCTTGGGATCCGGGGCCAAGGCTGAAGATCTATGTCCAAAATAAAGCAAAACCAACTCCCCAGGGAAGTCTGATGATGGGCCAGGATGGGGAATCACTGCCTCATGTATTAACCATGAGTTTCTTCAAGTCCAACCCCGGAATCTCAGTGGCTCTCCATTCTGACGGCATTTCAGAATCAGCTGGGGAATTTTAAAATATGATGCTCCTGGGACCCACCCCCAGAGATTCTGATTCAGTCAGTCTGGGTTGGGGCCCAGGGAACCAAGTGAGAATTAAATCCAGTAAAAGGAAAGAGTAACACTCACTCAACCCAGATGTTCTCCATTCTGATGACACTTAAGCCCCAGGCAGGAAGAGCAACAGAACAGCGTTTTCTCACAGGGTGGTCTGTGGACCACCGCCTCAAAAATCGCCTGGGGTTGGGGGAGGGGGGAATGGGAGACACGCAGACTGACTAAACGTGCAGATGGCCAAGCCTGCCCTGAAACAAATGGTCCCAAATATCTCTGGGGATGGAGCTGGGAAATCTGCATTTTTAACAAGATCAGAGTAGAGAGAGAGTGCGAGTGAGTGAGTGAGTGAGTGAGTGAGTGAGTGAGTGTGTGTGTGTGTGTGTGTGTGTGTGTGTGTGTGATCTGCGAAGGTGAAAACTTGGTTCTACCATGCCTTGGGTTTTACTGAGGGCAATTCTTTGAAGCAGGTGAAATTTTTATTTGGAAAACCTGTGACCAGGGTTGAATCCCCTAACTGATAGTAAGTGAGGAAGGGAAGACCTTAGGATGCTTTTAAGACTCCAGTGCCAGTGGGACAGAAACAGACCTTGGACAGCCAGTGAGCAGAGTGATTAGGGCAGCCTGCACCGGGTACATCACCAAGGCCAAGGCTGCAGGACTTGGGCAGCACCAAGAAATGAAGTCAGTCACCCCTGAGGCCAGGAGAGCAACATCAAGACTATGACTCTGCTAGGGTAATATTTTAAAGAGGAAAAAATCTCACAACCGCTTAGTTTGCCTCTAATTGTTAAAGTGACGGCTGCTGTGGAAACAGCACCAGAAGTCCATCTCCAGGCTCTCGTTGCTTCTCAATGACCTCCTCAGCCCTCAGAACTGAACTTCCTTTTTCAGATTCCATCTCCTTTGGCCCATGAATGAAAGCCTCCAAGGGGGACATTCTGATCTCTTTAAAAACGTTAACCATGACTTAGAGAATACTATAACTTCATCAATTTCATCACAATATCCTCTAGCTAAACAAACGCCCTCAGATATATTTCATTTGTATGTTCTCTACCAGTAGGGACGGTCAGGGTAGGGGGACAGAACGGGGAGTACGGGATGGACACGCCAAGGTCCTACCTTCTGGGTCATCACGGATCACCAGCAGCCCATTCCTGCACACGACCTTCCCGGTGGTGGCGTCTAGGAATATTAGTGATGGAATGTTGGAAATTCGGTATTTGTTCCAAAGTTTAAGCTGTAAGAAGCAAAGTGAAAAAGGTGGTTAAGTCCAAACCAGATCAATCGAAGCATCCTTTTGAGCCCCATCAGGCCTGAGGGGCGAAAGAACTGGAAAACACTGCTGTACAGGGAAATGAATAAGTGAAGCTACAATCATTGGCCTCTGTGGTCTGTGACAGGGGAGGGGAGTCTGAGTCCCATCCAGGCTCAAGCTGTGACAGAGGCCAACAGAAGACCACACCTGTTCTAAGACAGCTCTTCTCCCCCACCTCTCCCACAGGCACTTCCTCTAAAAGGCATAAAGATGAAGGGTGCCTAGCTGGGCTCACTTGATTAAGTGTCCGACTCTTGATTTCGGCTCAGGTCATGATCTCATGGTTCATGAGTTCGAGCCCTGCATTGGGCTCTGCGCTGACAGTGCAGAGGCTGCTTGGCATTCTCTCTCTCTCCCTGTCTCTCTGCCCCTCCCCTGCTGTCTCTCTCAAAATAAATAAACTTTAAAGAAAAGCATAAACACAAAGATGAATTAGGAAATGAACTACATGTGCACCCCCAATACCAGGTGGTTAAGGCAGGAAGGGAGGCTTTTTGTTGGTGTCTCTGAACCCCATCAGCAGGCAGGTGCTCCCCTGCTTCCCGGCTCTGCTGTGGCACCTGAGCTCCAAGGGAGAGGGGACAAGGGTATCCCAACAGAAGACCAAGTAGCCAGAATCCGGCGCTCTCCCCACCACATCGGTTCCTGCACTTGGGAGTATGGGCAGTCGCTGTGTGTGTCATTCACCCACAAACACTAGGGAAGCAACATCCTGAGCCGGCTCCAATTCTTAGTTCTCAGTGCCACTCAAAACAACCCACAATCTACTGGCAGGTTCGATGTTGCCTCAGCCAACTGTCAGAGGACCAGGGTCTAGGAGGGGTGAGGCTGAGAAAGCACGAATGCAACAGCCCGGGACAGGAAGCTGAGGATGTGCAGACTCCTTTATCAGCTCCCGGCCATCAGAGTGACCGCCATTCGGGGGGGGGGGGGGGTCCACTGGGTGCTCTGGAACTTAACTGCCAAGCCCAGAAAGCAACATAATTAAACAAAATGTCCAGCTACCAACGGGAAATGGCAGAATGGCCCAAATGTCTAACTACCAACGGGAAATGGAAGAATGGCCCACTGCTGATTCAGCTGCAGCCTCCCTTCCGGGGGCCTGGGGCCCACACAGGAGGGCTGGCCGCCTGGGCATTGGCAGAATGGGGCGCGGATGTGTCAAGGGGAAGCAGGCACCAGAAGTCCAGCTGCACAGAGCAGATTATTATTGTTTTTAATTCAATCTCAAGCAGCGAAGGAGTCGGGTGGGGTATCTGCTACAAAATGTTAGGCTTCCCCTGTCTGTGGAGACCTGGGTCTTGGCAGGAAAGGTTGTGGGACCCCACCTGGAACTGGGTGGGCCCTGCCTTTCCAGTGGGCTCCCAAACCAGCCCTTCTAACAGGAGCGACTCTGCACATACAGTCGGCAGTGACCAGTACTACATCATTCCAGAGAAACCTGATACAGGCTTCAGATCAAACATTTTTAGGAGGAAAGGCCCAACAGCAGAACAAGACCATCCTGCTGCTGGGATTAGCTTCCTAAGTCTGCAAGTACAAGGATCCAGCCAGGTTAATAATTTTAAAGGGGGGCAGGAAGGAAGATGAAGGGATTTATCTGATTTAAAAAGTAATTATGGGGGGGGAGTAATTATTGGAAAAAATGAGAAACACAGCAAACCGTAAAAACTGAGATAAAAATCACCCATGACTCACCACTTAAAAAGCTTGGGCAACTTTATATTTCTACCAGTGGCAAACGAGAGCCCATTCCTCAGTATTCTTACCAATATTACTTAAAAAAAAAATTTTTTTTTCCCTCAATGTTTATTTTTGAGAGACAGAGACACACAGAATCTGGAACAGGCTCCAGGCTCTTATCAGCACAGAGCCCGACGCGGGGCTCGAACCCACGAACCGTGAGATCATGACCCAGGTCAAAGTGGGACGCTTAACCAACTGAGCCACCCAGGCACCCTCCTAGGGTACATATTTTGGCGAGTAGTCAGGGACGGCATCTTTGAAGAAATGGCATTTGAGCACAGATCCCGGATATGAGATGGGGCTAGTCACGTGCTCATGGGGGAAGGCCACCTGAGGCCCAGGGCACCTGTTAGAGGCTGGGAGGCAGATCAGAAAGAAGGCTGGGGTAGACACAGTCAGATAGAGTCGGGGAGAGGGGCCACAATGAGGTCAGAAGGGCGCTCTTGGCAGATCTTTAAGGCCCTGTAGACTAGTAAAAATGATGGAATTTTATTCTAAGTGTAACAGGAAACTACAGAGCATTAGCAGGGGAGTGGTATGATTTGATTTACAGTTTAAAAGGTCACTCTGGCAGCCCTGAGGGAACATACTGTAGGGGAAGACAAGGAGAAGGCAGGATCTGGAGAGGCCAGTGCAAACAGCCCAGGCAGAAGTTGAGAGCAGTGAGGAGGACCTGGGTTATAGCAGAAGAGAGTGAGGACATGATGTATTCTTAAGACAGTCAATAGAGTAGGTTGACAGACTGAATATGTGGAAGGGATAAGGGAAAGAAAAAGATGAAGGATGTACTATGGTTTTGGAGTTTGAGCAAAAGTGTGTCAAGGGGTCCTATGAACCAAGATGAGGAAAAATGGAGGCAAAAGTTTGGGAGGGAAAGATGGAGATAAGAGAGGTCAACCTGAGATGCCCATTAGATGTGCAAGGGGAGATTTCAAGGAGGCACCTGGACTTACAAGTCTAGGCTCTGGGGAGCTGGGGGGCATGAGCTATAAATCAGGGATTGTCGCTGCCTGGATGCTGTGAGGGGTCATGAGCCTCCATGAGGTTATCCAAGGAGAGGACAGGCTACAGAGGACAAGGCACCCCAGAGCAGAGCCAGGGACCACCCACAAAAGACTGAGAAGGAGTGACACATGACATAGAAGGAAAACGGGGAGACTCCGGTGTCCCAAAAGGCAGGTGGCAAAAGTGTTTTAGGGAGAGAGTACACTATAGTGTCAAATGCTGCTGACACGTTGAGTAAGATGAGGGCAGAGAACTGACCAGAGATGTGGCAGCTAAGTTTATTCACGACCTTGACAGTCAAGGAGGAGTCAGTAAAGTGAGGAAAAAAGAGTGAGTTGGAAGAGGGAGACAACGGGATGCAGCTCTGTCCGGCACACACACCTAGAGGGGCCCTGGGACCAGACAAACTCGAGTCGGCTTCCCACACGAAACACCAAGCGGGAACAATAAAAACAGGAAAGGCTATCAAGAGAAAAAGAACATGGCAGATAAGGGGCTAAGGTAGTGACTACAGATAACTTTAAGAGTTTTGCTGGAAAGGGAGCAGAGAATAGGACTGTAGCTGGAGAAACACATGATGAGGTCAGAGAGAGGATGTTTTAAAGATGAAGTCAGGGGGCAGTATTTTAAAGATGGGAGATGCTTTAGTATATGCTGCTGGGGATAATCCAGAAGAGGAAAATATTGATGAGAAGGAAAAATGCAAGAACAGAGTCCTTGAATAGGCCAGAGGGTGGGGTCGAGGTCACAGACAGAAAGATGGAGTTGTAAAACCTGACTAATTTTTAAATGTACACTCTTACTTCAAAGCACGTTTTTAGCCTGAATAGAAAGCCATGCTATTTGCAAATAAACATAACTTCACCTTCCTTTTCCACAATTACATCATTTATTTCCTTTTCTTAAAGAACTATATTGGCTGGAATTTTCCAGGACAATAGTAAGTAGCAATCATCTTTAACTTCCACCTGATCATAATGGGTATACCTTTTACTATTATATATAAGACTAGCCATTGGTATGAGATGGATACTCTTTTTTTTGTTGTTGTTGTTACATTTGTTTATTTTTGAGAGACAGAGCATAAGCAGGGGAGGAGCAGAGAGAGAGGGAAACACAGAATCAGAAGCAGGCTCCAGGCTCCGAGCTGTCAGCACAGAGCCTGATGCGGGGCTCAAACCCACAAACTGTGAGATCATGATCTGAGCCAAAGTTGGACGCTTAACCCACTGAGCCACCCAGGTGCCCCGTGAGACGGATACTCTTGAACATGTTAAACAAAATAGTCTTGAATGTTATTCAGCCTTAAAAGGAAGGAAATTCTGGGGCACCTGGGTGGCTCAGTTGGTTAAGCATCCACCTCTTGATTTCTGCTCAGGTAACGGTGTCTCAGTTTGGGAGTCTGAGCCCCTTGTCAGGTTCTGTGCTGACAGTGGGGAACCTGCTTAGGATTCTCTCTCTCTTCCCACCCTTCTCTGCCCTCCCACATGTTCGCTCTCTCCCTCTCTCAAAATAAGTCAATAAACCTAAAAACAATCTTTTTTTTAAAAAAACTTTTTAAATGTTTTATTCAGTTTTGACTGAGAGAGAGAGAGAGAGACAGAGCATGAGCAGGGGAGGGGCAGAGAGAGAGGGAGACATAGAATCCGAAGCAGGCTCCAGGCTCTGAGCTGTCAGCACAGAGCCTGATGCGGGGCTCAAACTCACAGACCGCAAGATCATGAATGAGCCGAAGTCGGACACTCAACCAACTGAGCCACCCAGGCGCCCCAAACCTAAAAACAATCTTTAAAAAAAAAAAAAAAGTGGAATTAAAGAAAAAACGGAAGGAAATTCTGACACGTGCTACTATGTGTATGAACCTTGGGGACACCGTGCTAAATGAAAGAAGCCAGTCACAAAAATACAAATACCGTGTGTTTCCATTCCTATGAGGTACCTAGAGTAGTCAAAGTCATAAAGACAGAAATTATAATGGTGGTTGCTACCACCATTGGGGTTGGGTGGACGGTGGAGATGGAAGAAAGCTGGTATTACTGTTTAATGGGTATAGAGGCTCAGTTTTACAAGATCAAAAGAGTTACAGGGATGGGTGGCCATGAAGGGCCGCATGTCATTGAGAATGAATTAAAAATGGTTAAGATGGTGAATTTTACGTTATCTGTATTTTA